GAATACTTTAACGTGAAAGACGAGTTAAGTTGTATTGATGGGTTATTGCTTCGAGGAACTCGGATGATAATACCTCATGAACTACGAGCGGAAATGCTTGAGAGGCTTCACAGTGGACACTTGGGAATCACAAAAACAAGGAAACGTGCTTTGGAAACCATGTGGTGGCCTGGAATTTCTCAAGAAATAGAAAGAAAAAGCAAATCGTGTCCAGTGTGTATTCAGAACTCAAGTAATCACAGTGAACCATTGATTCCAGAACTTATGTTTGGAGGGAAAATAAGAGACAATCTTCCATCTACTTTGGTTGGAAATCCTGTGGAAAATAAAGACTTTTTTGAGAGGGAGAATAAGTACCAGTTGAAGTATAAGATGCAATTTGATAAACGACATGGAACGAGGGGTTTAAGTGAATTAGAAGAGGGAAGCATGGTATGGATCACAGATCTACGTAGACATGGTAAAGTAGTCAGGAAATTGAACGAACCACGTTCCTACCTTGTGGACATTGACAAGAAAACCATTCGACGAAACCAGACGTTCTTAGTTCCTGCACCATACTACGGAGAAGATTGCATTCTTTCAAACTGTTCATCTACGGTCCTTAATTGTCCATCTAACTCACGTGATCGTCCAGACGCTGGCACAGTTACCCATTACGGAAGGTCCATCAAGATACCGAGGCGGTACCGAGCTTCATGAAGATGTAGACATCTTGAGGCGGGATGTTGTATTAAGTATGTTCTTTTAGTCATATGATTTATTTGTGTTTAAATATCTTTTGTTGACAGATGATTTTTGTAAACATGTTTTGGTAAACATTAGTTTAGTTGGAATAGAGTTTGTTGAAACAAGATGTGTGTTTAATATTTTTGTATTAGAAATAGAACAATAATAAACATTACTGTTGCAAAGTAAACAAGGTAATGATGGATTTAGCAGTTTATAAACATAAACAAATAACAAAAAAACAGGTGTTTTCAAACCAATGAAGCAAAAAAAATCATTTTCTTCTGTAAATTTGCACCCATCACAACATGTCAGAATCTCGGGTATGAACGTTGGCCTCCCCAAACAGATTGGTCTCCGGGCCGGAGCAATTATCGTTGCAGCTCTGGAGATGTGATCTCTAAAGTGACCGTCTTTAAATAGACAGTGAACACACAAACAAGTCTTTTAAGCAATGCCAATGTCAGCGAAATCATTCAGATTAGAAAAAGTGTCGGATCTCAGTTTGACCGTGACATTTTATACGCGTGTATTAGAGCCAGTTTCAAGGCCAAAGCGGATCTCATATCGACTTACATACTGGATCTCACTGTAAATGTGAAAAATCAAATGGAGTTCTTTAGCATTATTTGAAATATGACATGACAAACATGTATCAGACATTTTAATTAACTTTCTATGTATTACGTATTTTCTTTCAAAAAGCACCCCTTCTGCTGGATCTCCAACAGCTGGATTTTTACTCGGATCTCGTTCCGACACATTCGTAGGTTTGTGTGTGTGTGTGTCTGTGTGTCTGGATGTGTACAGAGCTAGGGACTACACCCGTGGTCCAATTTCGATGAAATTTGGTATGTAGGTTCTAATCTATGGTATCTCCAGGCGTTTTTTCATTTTTTTGAAATTTTGATTTTTAATGGGGATTTTCCCATAAAAACCGGAAAAATTGAATTTTCTCAAAAATGGCCTGAACGATTTTGTAGCCCTTTAAATTCTGAACAAAATGGTACAAATCCCATTTCTGTAAAAATTACGGTTCAAAAGTTATTGTAAATTATGTTGTTTTCCCATAAAAAAAACCCCATAATATAACAAAAAATAGGATTATCGAAAAAAATCCGGTTTTGATTTAACATAGTATGTTATGGTCTTTACCATTTTCATAGTTTTTTCATTTTATGGAAATTTTGATTTTTAATGGGGATTTTCTCATAAAACCCCATAAAATAACGGAAAAATCTGATTTTCCATAAAATGGCCCGAACGATTTTAATAAAAATTTAGTATGTTATAGTCCTTTAAATTCTGAACCAAATTGTACAAATCCCATTTCCGTATATTTATTCTCACATCTTACACATGATAAAGGTTGTTGACAAACTTATGGGTGAAAGTATGTGTCAGAATACTGATACCGTTTATTGTAATTTGGACTCATTAAAGTCAGTTTATTATTTGTTAATTCACTCAAACATTCTTTATGGTATAGAGCTTTATGGCACAACATCAATTAATAATCTACAAAGAAACCTACATTTTCAAAAAAATCAATTAGGACTATGCTTAAGCTTCCTGATGATGATCATTGAAGATATCATTTTTGTAATCTGAAAATTATGACTGTCTTAAGCCTTTATATTTATAGAACAGTGTTACATGTAAAAAATAATGAAGATACTTTGCCAAGACAACAAAATATTCACACATATAATACAAGAAATCTGGAAAGTTTAAAATTAATAATTCTAAAAAAGCAATTTCAAACAAAAATCCAACTGTTTCTGGGATAAAATATTGTAACTACCTTCCTGAAATCAGAAAATCAGAAAAGAGTTTTAAATGCTTTGAAAAGATTTCTTGTAACCAAAGCGCTATACAGTTTTGAGGAATTTTTCAGTGTTTAAGGTCATTTAAATAAATATTTCTGTATATCTATAAAATATGTATAATGTATCAGAATTCTATCTAGTTATTAGGCGATGTAATGTATGATGTATTGTTCTGAACGCCATTCATGTATACTTTTGTATATCTGTGAATAAAGTATCTTTGAATTGAATTCAATTGAATTGGTAGAACATTATGCCTATGGTAGATGTGTTATACCATAGCATACCGTAAATTTAAAGAACCAAATTTTCTCAAACCGTGTCCTCCACCATTGCAAACGCATAGCACAAGTATAACTGCAATAATCATTTTATCAGGGTGTTTAGTTTATTTCCATTTAAAAGTTCAAGTCTAATTCCAGACTTTTCAAGACTAATTCCATATTTTTCAAGATTAGTTTTTACCAACAATTAGTAATGTGTTGATACCAAAATGTATTGATTCGCAATTTTTGATACAGATACAATTTTTTTTAATAATCTAAATAAATTTTCGAATTCTACATCAACCCCTGTCTTTGTGTCATAAAGTATTATTAAGATGATAAGGGTGTTTGTCAAGTAAAGAAAATAATGAAGAAATGAAAAATTTTAACTAGCCAATTATGATTTTTTTGGATGATGAAAATCTTCCATGACCAAGTAGACATCAACATTGATTGCCGCAGACACGGGAACATCATCGTCGCTGTCCACGAATGCAATGAAATCATGAACATTTCCCGCGGCCATGTAGACATCATCATTGACTCCCGCGGTATATGGAAACATCATCATCATCGTTCGCGATCACGGAACAATCGTAAACATCTTCCGCGGCCGCATTCCGCCGGCGCAGAGCGAAGAAGATGTTCATATAAGTACCGGACTACACGAGCGTATGAAATGCCACCAAACATCTGGTTTTTTTGCAGAACCTATACCTTTATATGATGTGGAGTACACGAGCGTTTTGTCTGCCTCATGAGGACACGAAATTCAGGCGTTCGGCAGATCTAACGCCTCTGGATGTGTAAAGTACGCGGGTAGATTGTTGGTGCACCGGACTACACGTAGCGGCAACTAGCAATTCTCCTGCACGTTGATATATCAATATATCGAATTTATCATTGTCGGAACCTCTACAAAGCGAATTTAACCTCTACTTAACGAATTGTCTGCGTCTCTCCCTCGATACAACAAACCCCCCACCCGCATTATTGTTTTTGAAAAATCAGTTTCTTCAGCAAATGAAATGGAAAGGTGACGTCAACGCTTGCGCTAACATTCGTCTGCTCCGTTTACACATCCCTGTCCCTGTCTGCTGTCGTTGCTGCTCGCTATGTTACAACTGAGAAGTGATTTCATTCACTAAGGACTGATGACGATGTAATGTTTGGTAAAATGTGATTGGGTGATAAGTAACTATGGTGACTTGTAAAATTGTTGGATGAAGAAAAACCTAAGAAAGAAAAATAATAGAAGAACAAAGCAAAGAGAAAGAATAGCAATATCGTTATCTTAACATTCCTTTAACAAGTGTTTTTCTTAATCTTTAAGTTGGCTATGATTATAAACTTTTATAACGACTTATCTAATATTTTTATTATTTTCAATACGATTTGTTTAAACTAAGGCAACACCAATGCTATAGTTGATTATTACAGTATTGACATTCCTCTGTTGTGATTTAAAGCAGTACTGTAGAATACTGGCCTATCACGAGCAGTAGCTTACAAAACTCTCTACTGTTTTGTTTTGTTCTTTACGTGGTTTATTTCTATATAATACAGTGTTTGGCTAGGTTTTAGGTGGGTTAGAGTAAGCTGTGATTTTTAACTTACAGTTTGTAACCTGTACCAAGGTCAATGACTAGAAATGTCATGATTGCGCCATATTAAAGATCCCTCCCCTTTAGTACCCCGGATAATCGAGGTTCTACTTTACAATGTAAACACTGTATTGTAAAGTATTGTAGCATAGGCTACTTTAATTGTGTTTTAATGAGGTCAAATCCCGACCTATATTGACTGATGCTGGTTCTGAACCTCGACTTAGCGAAATTCCTGCAAACCTAACCTTAATACACTATAACGAACCTTGTTTTAACGAAATCCTTGATATAACGAATATTCAGTTCGGTCCCTTCAGATTTGTTATACCGAGGTTGGACTGTATCCACTAGTGATGTGTCAGTTGCAGTTGTGTATCAGATTAGTTTAGCTTTGGTCTTTGATATTGGTTGTGGAATATATTTGGTTTTAAAAAGATATATCAGCTTTACCAACTTACTTTAAAAACCTCGCCTCGCCTTGACCAACTCCCTTGGTTCTCAATCACTTAAGAATTTAGGCTAAAAAATCCATCCACTCGCACACCTATTCTATTTGGGTAAAAACTCACAAAAGCTGCTGCGTGCTTTGGGCACAATGGGTGGTGGTGAGAGATATCGAAGACTGGAACGCAGCACTGAGTGTTGTCAGAGAACTTGGCCGTGCAGTGTTGGAACAGTAGCTGGTCCACGTTGTACATGATGTGTTGAGCACAGTGACGTGTACAGGGCAAGGCTGGCCTCTCGCACTCCAAACTGCACTTCTGTGGTACCAGCATCGATACGACAGCTCTACAATACAACAAACATTCAATATTGTTTGTCTTATAAATCTATTACAAAATTAAAAATTTTTACCTTCAAGATTTAAAAAAGTTTAAGTTATGATGATCTTATACACTAAAAACCTTTTGAAAAACTTACGACAGCTAGCCTGGCCATACTACTGGTCCGAATTACACGCGGTTGGTACCAAATGAAAGATATTTTCCTGTAGATGAGCAGAATCCCTTTATAAATTAAAATAAACGCAAAAATAAGCACAAAAAATGAATTTGAAAAAAAAAAATTTAAATGGGCCTTATGGGTTGCTATGTTGGTAGCAAAGTAACAACAAAATATTTTGGTGGAAAGAACATCGTACCTCGTAATAGTAGTAATACCTTTGACTTTGGATAGAGCAAGACATTCCATTAGCATGTTACAGTTGTACCTAGTGCTTCTGCCAATTACTTATTTCTATTGTATACCAAGGCAAACTGAAAGAACAACGTATTGTGAACTTAGTGTCTTTTATTTCATAATACCAACTAAAATTAAACTGGGATAGACTGGCTCATTTGACATGTTCTACATGAATAAACAGGGTGTCTACCACATTTCTCAAATGGAATTCCCGACTTTTCATTACCATTATTAAGAATCTCGACCACAAACTCGGCCCATTCTCCATGTTACTATACCTTTTTCCGTCTCGCAATCATGGTACCATCGGCAACATCTCCTGCGGTCACAGCACAATCGTCAACATGTACCGCAGTCACTGCACTATCGTCAATATGTGCCACCGTCACGGCACCATCGTCAACATGTCCCATCATGCCTGCTGCGCGATCTTTAACATATCCCGCGTTAGCGGAGATATCTCTTACAACCGTGGAGATATCATTGCCAGCCGCAATACCGACGATATTTTTTGCGATTGCTGTAACGTCATCATTGTCACTCGCGACACGGCGAAATTGCTGACGATCAGGCAGAATGACGTGCCCAGAAAATCTTGTATCAAATGGAATCCCGTCCCAATGATCGGGAATACTTGATCCCGGAAATTCTCCAAAGTTTTGGAACGTTTTCCACAGACATGTTCATCTCTAATTTCAAAGGGTTGGATTATTTTCGACCTTTGGCTGAAATTCATTTTTTTCATAACTTTTCCCAACTTTCAAAATCCCCGACTTTTTCCTGAATTTCCCGGGATTCCCGACTGGTAGACACCCTGATAAAAGATTCGCTATAGCTGAACCAGAGATGGGATATACCCTGGTTTCTTATGGTCAATGATAGGCCTACTTATTTAAATAGTGGCAAAAAACATCCAAACACGACCACAAAACCATCTGCGCAGCAATAAACAGGGTGGCTGAAAAGTAACTTGCACCCCAACTTATGAACCTTTTGAAATATTTTTAAATCGGTTTGCGGCAACCTTCTTCGATATGAGAGGCTACGTCTACAATAATGATGGTTAATTTTGAAAATTTTGCCCTTAGGGGTAGCGGGGGTAGGGGGTAGCTCAAAATTTTCAAATGACAAATATAGTCGAGTTTGGTATAATTTTACAGGTTTTGACAAAACTAAACAATTGACATAAAGAAAACAAAAATTGGACCACCAATAAAAAATATCGCCCTAAAATCTGACTTGTATTCTTTCTCCCATTAGCTTGTCAACAAACTTTATCATTGGTAAGCTAAGCTGTGGGAATAACTCTGATATTTTATAGGAAAAATCTCAAAAGTTGCATTAACTTTTGACTGTAATTTTTACAGATTTGGGGTGTTACAATATTTTGCTTAGAACTATAATTTTACATATTCATTTTAATCAAAACCGGTTTATTTTTAAAAATCCAATGTTCCCTTATTTTATGGGGTTTTAAGATAAAACTAGTGTACCGGTTGTTTGAATTCGAGCAATTGCTAAGTCTTACAGGTGTTATTTTAAAACGAATAACAGTCATAATTTCTGATTACTTTAATAGATTTGACTCAAAGATTATGGAAATACTCAATATGTACATAACAGATCAATATAATCAACATGTCTTTATCTTATCATTTTTCAAAAGCTGATCTTCTTTTTTAGTGTTTTCTACAAACAGCCTTACTCATAGCCACATTTGTCCATAATAACTATTATAAAAAAAGGCTATTTCTATTTCTTCTCCTTGGTGGTGTTCAATGACATAGGAAATGTTTCCATAGTTTGCAAATCGGCTCTTTCAATGATTACTAAAAATGCAGCACAGTGTTATTTCAGTTTTCTTTTTAGTATATCAAATTAACCAGGCTATCTCGCTTTTTTCCATTGTAATATTTACGCTAACCCAAATTCAAATGGTAAATATTTTTCAACCGAGTCAGCAAACTGTTAAATTAGCAAACTTATTGACTGTTTACAATCAACATATGTTCTTCTTCTCACTTTTAATTTCTGACAACAGGTGTAGTTTCATAACAATGTTTGTTTCCCTTGTTAATCTTATGGAGAAATACGAAACTTTAAAGGGCCCCAGGGCCTCACTCTTTAATTATTTCCCTAAAAAGAAAGTTTCCTGCACAACTTCACGTTACGCTCTTTCCAATGACACCAAAAACATATCAATCGGTTCAGTAGTTTCGGAGGAGTAATTGTCACAAAAAACCTGCTTGCGTATTAAATAAGTATAGATTACACAAGTTACAATAACTTTTGAACCGTAATTTGTACAACAATGTGAGTTGTCTATGGTTGTACCATTTTGATCAGAATTAAATTCTAAGTTTTAATCAAAATCGTTCTGAGAAAGTTAGATTTTTCCGTTATTTTATGGGTTTCAATAAGAAATTCACATTAAAAATCCAAATAAATAAAAAAACTCCTGGAGATACCATTGATTAGTACCAACAAACCAAATTTCATCACAATCGGACTACATGGGTGGTCTGTGGCTCTGTACACATACACACAAACATACAAGTATTTGCCGAATACTCACAATCCCCAAATTGTGGCACCTTTCAATCTGCGGCCAGCAATGGATGAAGGAAGTTGGAAAAACCTTGTGTACACTGATCTCTCCCATAAACACTCCATTTTACCATCAAACACTCTAGTTTTTAATAATGGCACCTTGTCGCAATTTGGTATATATCAACAGTGCGTGTACAGGATTCGCCTAATGCCTTGTAGCACTTGAGTTGTGTGTATGTCCCCCCCTACTTCTCCATGGTGCTGTTGCCAGTTTTCCGTGTTGGTTGCGTCTTTCTGTGCCTGTGCCCTACAGCTAGTGCCATAGCTCACTGCCCGGGCCTGCATTCTTACATCTTCCTTACTTTCTCTTAATTAGTATAACATTGTTCACATGTTTTACTAAACCAGCAAATCAAGCGAATAAAATGTCGGGAGGGTTATATAACAGTAATAATTATCGTAGGCTATGTCATTAATATGGTCAACTAACGTAATATGGAAACTATGAAATACTTTAAACAAAACTAAAACATTAGCCCAAACAAAACGTAATATATACACATTTATTAATTCTTTAAATACAGTAGGAACTGTACTTCAGACCTTCTTGTACACAATTTTACCTGGTACAATTTTTGAGATAGCTTTATTGTTTTGAAATTAATTTCTTTAGTTTGGATTATACTACGAATATCAGAGCCTAGCGTTACCCAGCGTGCTCAGCAGCGTTGCTGCACTCAATAACTATTATTTTTAATTGTATCCTTGTGTTTACACTAAATAATAAAAAATATAGGTACCAAGAACAATAATAGAATAGTTTGTTTTACTGTAATTCCAGAAGATAAACAATGTTGTTTGTTTTTTAATTAGATTCATACTGGGTGTCACAAATACGTGCAGAATCTATGCAGAATTGGATTCTACATACAAAAATAAGATGAAAATCAAGAGTAACATTTTTCCAAAAACCAGATATCCGCCATTTTCTATTTTTTCACATAAACATTTTTATTTTTAGATTTTTCCAACAGATCTTTATGAAACTTTGTGTGTAGGTTTGTAATGGTAAAAATATTACGAGATAAGAAAACTAGGTAGCGTTCAAAACGATTTCAAATGGCCCGCAATGGGTCATAATTCTCCGAGCACCCAAGCACTGCGCTAGCGTCACGACCTCTATAAATACGGCGCAGAACCGGAGAAAAGTGAGACTAACGCTGGGCGAATAGCTAGCTACATCTCTTCCTGTAAAGGGGAGTAGAGTAATCATCACGAAACCGTAGGGCGAGGGCGGAATAGCCCGGTTAGTGCACCAGCGATGAAATAACTCTGGAAGCGTCGAGCAATAGGTGTTAAACCAATGGCAGACTAGCTCTTGGATCCGTATTTATTACGAAATCATAGGGCGAGGGCAGAATAGCCCAGTAAATGAACCAGTGGTGAAATAACTCTGGAATCGTTAAATATTAGGTGGTAGGCCAGGGCGAAATAGCCCGTGGACCCGCGATAAAATCAATTCGGTTTATTTTAAGCATTGCTGGTTTTAATTCTAAAGTGAAACACTGTATATCCATTAAGTAAAGATTAGTTTAATTTTTGAAGTTAATAATTTCAGTTAGTTACGACCAGTGTTTCACTCAAAGAATTAACACCAATTAATTACTCTAAATTTGCTAATTTGTTTAAATTAAAGTTTAAATCGGGCAGTAATGAATGTATAATTTACTGGAAGCTGATGCTTTAACAGCCACATGGTCCAGGGGCTGAGGTGGTTTGAGCATGCATAAAAGTGTAACGAAAATTGACTTTTGATTGTTGCTATGGGTACCTAGTAGATGAAGAAAATCGATGTTGTCGCATTTCTAGGTGGTTAATAACATGGGGGGAGGGGGTGAAATTGGGGGGGCCGCTGCGCACAAAATATCTAATATCTCGAGAACCAAAAGTCATATGAATACGTTAGACATGTCAAACTGTGCAGAAAATGCGTTCTAAATGAAGATTATGTAGTAGTTTGACAAAAAACTATGAGATGTTAGTAAAAATTATTTTTG